TCCCTGGGGCCCCTTCAGCCCGACACCCACCTCCCCTGACCCTTCCCCATCTGCCACTGCTGAGCTTGTGTCGGGTCTGGCTTCATCTGCAGCGTGTCCTCCTCTCCACGCCCTCAGCCTCTCTCCCCATGGCGGGGGGCACCGGGGAGCCCCATTTCTGGGCCCTGCTCAGATGCAACCCCTTCTCTCACCCTGCAGTGTCAGCCCCCTTCACAGCTCCCCAACAAGAGAGGCAGGCAGGGAGAAACCAGCGGATGAATAATTTATTATAACGATGCAAAATAGGGTTTTAAAACTCTCCCCGTATAAATATTTATTTTTGACTCGTTAGCACCGCAGCTGCCTTCCTCCCCCCCCCCATCCAAGCCTTCTCTTTCTCCTTTTCGAAGCCCCCGACAGCCATGCAACAACCACGGCTGCGCTTGTTCTCCTTTGCTCCGGCTGCCTGTCTCTCCCGCGCTCGCTTTTCACATGATCTGAGCCCCGGTGCCAAGCGCTTCCCGGGAAGGAGAAAAAACTCTTTCTCGCGCACACACACAAAACAACAACTGGGGAAGGAGAAGGGAGGGCTGGGGTGGGGGAGAAAGAAATACAGAAACACACAGGCACACGCACAAAACCCTTTGAAGCCTGTGAAGGGTAAGGGTTGTTTCTGTGGTAACGGCGCAGGGATTGGCGGCGGGCGGCGAGGCCCTCGATCCCGCGGCGGTGCTGAGTGATTAATGAGCCGTCGCTGGGCTGCGCGGCCGTGCACGGGCCGGGCCCCCGCTGCCTTCCTGTGCTCACCGCCGGCTCCCCGCGCTCTGCCCGGCTTGGGCGCACGGTGCCCTGTGCGACATCAGCCCTTCAAGGGACCGAGCGATGGCCGCAGGCTTGACGGTGCTGCAGCGCGGCTGGGGCTGCAGGCCGCGTTCCATGCCGTAGGCCTCGTCCCGCCCTGCAGGCCTCGTCTCAACATTGGTTCTCATGGAGGTTTGGGCAGCGCTGGGGGGTGGCAGCAGCGTGTGGCGCTGCGCGGCGTTTGTCCTGTGGATGAGCAGATGAGGGCTCTGCCGCTCCCTCCTGTGTCCTGCCACAGGGCTGCCATGTTTAGGGCCGTGACCGATGGGCTTGGTGACTGCAGGGTGCTGCTGCAAGTGCTCAGCGTGAGCTGCGGCTCCTGGGGAACCAACTGCTGCGACGCCCCGTTTTGTTCCCTTCCTTTTTTAAAAAAATTCACATCTCTTGGGCAAACAATAATTACGAGTGAGTTTCAAATCTCTTTCCCCCGAAATAGCCAAACCGGAGCGCAGCCTTCCAGAGCTGCTGCCTGAAACAGATGTGCTGCCAGTGAGGCAGCTATTTATAATGTGCAGTGTTCCCTTTTAAGCTGTAGTGACTCCAGCCCTCGGCTCTCGCGTTCATCAGCTCCTTTTGAAGCCTGCAGCTCTAATCCAGTGACTGTTCCTGGTGCTGCTAAAATCTCATAAGCCCACCGGGATGCCAGCAAAGCCAGAGCCCTGCCTGCCTTCTGCCTTCGGAGGTGGTTTGTCATCTCTGGGGGCTGCTGGGCATGGAGGCAGAAATGGGTTTGGATGGCACTTCCCCAGCGTCCCAATCCCAAGTCCAAATGGGAGAGGTTTTCTATAGAGAAAAGGCTGTTGAGGGTTCGAGCTTGGTGTGTTTAAACCTTAGGAGCTGTTTGCAGGATCAGCGAAATTAGAGGCACAGTGAAGGTGCAGATAGTGTTGGATGAGTCCCTTTTTCAGGAGGAAAACTGGGGAGATTTGTGTTGAAAAGGAGGTTCAAAGGGGTTGGCCAGCTTGGGGCTCCTGTAGTGGAGCTGGAGCAGCACTGTATGAGTTGGTGGTGCAGGGGCAATGGGACTCTTTAGGGCTGCGTGTTGTTCACAGATCCTGTCCAGCCCCATTGTGCTGGAGCGCCCGTGGCCAAGCACTGCTACTGCTTTATGTCTGCTGTGTGCTGATGAATAAGTTTGTTGGTATTTCAGGGCGGGGAGCAGGTGGTTGGGCAACACAGCATGCGTGGGGAAGCTGTTTCTTGCCAGGGCTGTTGCAGCGAGCAGGTCCTGGAGCACTGTGACCGACAGAACCGGCCAGGCTGGTGCAGCCGCTCTGCGTGGGGCCGGGCCAGAGCAAGCACAGCTCTGGGGCTTGGCCACAGGTTTGCTTTACGCTGCTCCATCCAAACCCTTTGCATTGGGTATGTTATGAGCATAACTCTCCTTTCCCAACTGATGTCCAGAGCATTGTCCCCAGCCTGGCATGACACAGCCTGGTTCTCCATATGGAAATTGTGCAAGACACCCCAAAAAGAAGCCCACCAATGGGCTGCTGTTTTTGCTCTAGTGGCATACACTTGCCTGCTGCTTTGTAGACACCATGGGACAGGGTTTATGTGTCAGTGGGCAGAGAGGACTTTGATCCCCACACTCTGCCCTTTGACTTCCAAATCCCACCCCTAGTATGACCATTACTTTATCCAATTCAACATCTCATGTTGAGAGTGAGCACTGGCTTATCCTCCTGCCCGGTTAATTCATGCACTGGGCACTCTGGAGGAGAAGAGGATGGTGATTTTAAACTGGAGTGATGAGCCATCTCCAGTTAAGGATGGGATCTGGGGAAGGAGCCGAGGGTGGGCTGCCCTGGCAGGACTGTCATCTCAGCTCTAGCAATGTGACAGTTGGTTTGACTTGTTCTGGTGGGGACACGGAGATGTGTTCCCATGAGGCTGGCAGCCTTGGCCAAGATCAGAACCTTCCTAGTTTCCAGTGGTTACAGATAAACCTTTGCTCCTGAAAGAGGTACTAATGCAGCCCATAGCAGAGAAGCCTCTTAAAAGCCAGTCTTGTTTCAGTGATGTTAATTATTAATAGGATGTGGGGAAGAAAACACTGGGAAACCCCAACAGATAGAGCCAAGCTGCTGTTTCGTCTGTGTCCAGCAGTGCAGACCTATCTTCCCCTGACCCAAGGGGAGATTCGCAGATCTCTTTTGTAGTGATTGCTGTCGGCAAGCACAGATCTTAATGGAGAGGCTCAGCTGTCCCCCTGAAAGCCACAGCCATCAGAAACCAAGGAGCTTAGTGACTCATATGGGGTTGAGCTTGGTCTCTAGCAAAGATTCAGCCCCCTGGAGGGATGTGGTCCCTCTTGGCAGCATCTGGGTTCAGCAGGTTTGGCAAGGTGCTGGGGTAGCAAAGCCCCGCAGGACAGAGGTGCTGGGGGTCCCTGCAGATGTGTGGGACAGGATGGGATCTGAGGTGGGATTTGAGTGCACATACGTAGGGAGCTAGAGCTGGGGGATCTTCCCAGAGCAGTATTCATGGAAATCAAGCTAACAGGGAAATCCTCGTGGACCTTGCAGGCTTCTTACCCCAGATCTGACCGTGGGTATCAGGGATGTCTCTGACAGGACCCCTGGCCTCCCCTGACTGGGTCCCCTCTCCCTTTGCCCCTTCCTTCTCTCTCATTTCCTTTCTCTCCCTCGCTTCCCTGCTTTCCACCCCCTCCAGACTCCTTGGTGGGGCATTGATTTTTCCATCCATCAGCGAAACGCCTGAGGAAAATGAAAGAGCATCTTCGTGATCGATCAGGAGAACTCTTCAGCCTGGGGGTCAGAAGGGCTGGAATCAGCTGCTCCCCTGGCATATAATTACCCCCTCTCTCCCAAGCCTGGGCATTTCACACGCCCGTGGGAGCAGCCGTCTTGCTGTAAGACTGGGAAGTTGCTTGCTGAAAACCTCCCCGTGGTGCCTTGATGCAGCACCCACAGGTGAGAGGAGCTGCCTGTGAGTGTGCTGGGTTCTGCTATTGCTGGAGCTGAGCACTGTGTGCTCGTGCTGGCTTTGTTCAGAGCGGTGTGAGTGGGTGTGAGTGCGCAGCACCCTCTCCAGCATCGATCACTCTGTGCGTAGCAAATTCTGCACTGTGTTTTGTGAGGATGGGCGGCTTTGAGGCTGTGAGCTTCAATAATCTGAAAGGAAACAAAATCCAATAGGAGTTGGGCACCCAACTCCCTTCTCTCTTTTGAAGATCTCATTTGAAGGAAGCGCCATCCAGGCCATGCTGCACAAACAGACCGCCTTGTTAATGGCCCAGAGGTGCCTGTTTACATGCTGGGGTTTGCTGTTGGTATGGCACTGGTCCCTAGGATGTGCCTGTGTGTGGGTTGCTACGCTTGGTCTAGTGACACAGCAGTGAATATTTGTCCTTTGGACCTGACTGAAAGAAGGAGCCTTGGAGACTGAGCAGTACTTGTGCTCCGGTGATCTTTCTGCTGCTGCCCCAAATTCTTCAGATATTGTTCCCACAGATGTTGTTCACTCTATTCCTGAGCTAGGTACAGGGGTTACAGACATGGAGGTGCACATCACGTGGTTGGTTGAAGCTTGCTGGATGACATGGAGGTCCCCAAGTGTTCCATGGTGAGCTGTCCATCCCAGGAGCTGGAAGAGAGCAATGCAAACCGAGGCTCTGCTCCCTCATCCCTCTGGTCTTGCCACGTCTTCTCCCTTGGTGAGCCTGGCTGTGGGCTATACCTTCACCCAAGAGCCTCCACCAGCATTTGCAGCCTTTCACTCCTTGGTCTGCAGGTGATCCGGGGACTTGTTGCCCCACATTGTGCAGCCCCAGGAATGCCACTGTTAGAAGGAAACTCTCATCCTTCCCATTCCCCTGTTTTTCCATGCTGGCTGGCAATGGGTACCTAAGGACAGAGAACAGGGCAGAAAAACAGTATTTGGGTGAGGAAGCAAAGCACTGTGTTCCTGATGCCATCACAGCTGGTTCAGACCAACCAAGGCAGAGTGCTGTGGGACAAGGACAATGCAAAACTCTGGCTTTCTCCCCCAAAACCAGCAGAGATAAGTTTGCTCCGGCATGGTTGTGTTACAGCCGAATGCTGACGCTGCTGTGGAGAGCTGGCTGTTGAGCTGTAGGTAAGGCTGCAGCGAGTTTATCTGCTTTGCAGATAATGTCTTCTGCTGAAAGCAGCTGAAACAGCTGCATCCTGATTTTGTTGGAAAGTTTATTTTACAGCATGTAATGTTAGCTCACCCTGTGTCCCTGGTAGAGCTTTGACATAAAGCTCCATCCTTCCTCTGGGGTCATTTGGCAACAGCCTGGCAATCAGGAGAACTTTGTTTAACCTGTGACTGCTGCATCCCTATATAAATGTGGATCTAACCCAGTTTCCTTGAATCTGTGTCTCTCTGTTGACAGCAAGGGAGAGAGGCGGGTTGATGCAGGTGGGTAATCTGGGATAATAATCCTTGCAAACAGGCTGAGCTGTCACCAGGCGATGTTGCTGCTGGGTTCAGTGCAGGTAATGGGAAAGGAGGGGGGAGAATCTTTGGGTCTCTCCACTGACCTGGCACCTTCTTGTTGACCATCCTTGCCCATGTCCCTTGCTCTTCCCTCTGCCTTCTCTCTCCCAGGGCTGTAGAATGGTGATAAAACACTACCTGACTTGCTGGGGAGCTTGGAGCCCAATTAAGAAGTAAACATTAATTAAAGTGAGCTCCTGTTCATATCCTGTACACCTCAGTGGGGCACTGGAAGCCCTGGGATGTGGGAGTGCAAGGTTGCAACAAAGACAAAACAATACATACTAAGACTGCTCACCAGAAAGTGGATCTACGTGTTAATCTGGGAAAAGGATCACGAAAATAACTGCAAATCCTTCATGACTTTGTTGTAATTTCTCGCGAATAGGATGTAGGCAGGAAAAATGCCTGCTCTGCTCTAAAGCCTCCCTGGTTCCGGGTGGCCCGTCAGTCAGGGCCAGGCTATGTTAACCGTGGGGCTGGTGCAAGAACAGATGGAAATCTGGGGGGAAGAGGTAAATGGCTGCACCACACGAGGTGATTGCTTCCCTGGCGCCTGCGTTGGCCCCTGGCTTGGCTGCACCCAGGAGACACGCGGGCAGCACAGCACTGGCAGTGCCCTGGCCGTCAGCACAGCCCGGTGCACCAGCATTTACAGACACAGAGACCTGGCCCCTCCCGGCTGCCCAGCTGCCTTTCTGCTAATGCTCATCTAATTAACCAGCAGCCTGGAGTGGCTGAAACCAGGGCAGCAGGAGAGCAAAGGGTTTTAACCAATAGGTTCCTGTCTCCAGCTCGAGAACCAGAAGAAAAACCCTTTTCATATGTTCTGATCAATAAGCAGGTGGTGTTCCTCCTCCCCTCCCTTTCACCTTCTCCAACTCATCTTTCTCCTCCTGGGCCAGGGATGCTCATCAGAGCCTGCTGCTGTGAGGGCTGGGATCTGTACCCAGGGCGTTCTGCAGCTCGTGCTTTGTCCCAGGGCTGCCGTGCGTGCCATAGCACACGCACTGCGCATCCGAGCGACACCGGCACGCTGGGCACAGCACAGCCAGCTCCCAGGGGGTATCTGAGAGAGCAAGCCTTGGCAATAACTGGGGCAGGATCCCTCCTTCGGGGGGGATTTTCAATCAGTGACATCTCTGAAGAGACAGTTGCTTTCCCCCCCCCCCCACTACCACTGTCAGCAAAGCTACAGGACTGTGAGCAAGGCAGAATCTGACCAGCAACTTTTGTACTGCATACGTATTGGTAAGGGTTAACAAGAAGCAGTGTTTTGTTTTGCTGTGCATGTTCGGTCTCTGAAAGGAGTTGCTTCAGCTGATATACATGCATTCTTCTTCCTAAGGTGTCTTCCGAAAATTAGCTCCAGCATGTCATCAGCGGTGGAGAAATGATTATGGAAAAGCAGCTGTCCGTCCCCTCCTGCCAACTCCCAGTGAGACAGCGGGAGGGGGAATGGCTCCTCTGGGTGCTGGCTGCTGGCAGCAGCTCCCTCGGTGCCTGGTGCCAGGCGCTGGTATACGGAGGCAGCTTGGAACTCTGGCCTTTTCCATCTCATCTCAATGATCTGGTTGAGGAGTAGCCGCTCAGTGCCCAGACCACTGTTCATCTTCAGGCCGCCTCCATCAATGGGAAGGGGCTTTAATAACAGCAGCAGTGCAGCAGGAGCTGTGGAAGAGGCTGGCAGGAGATGCGATGCTGTCTCAGCGCTGTCAGAGTGCGGAGCAGGGATGTTTTGGGGGGGCAGAGCGGCCCTGCATGTGTCCCTGTGGCTTCTCACAGATGAATCTCATCCGCCCAGGGGGCAGCTGTCACGGGAAGGATCTGCAGAGGGAGCTGAGGGTCTCCTGCTGCTCCTGGCCCGATGCTGTCATTGAGTGTTTTTTTTTAACAATAAGAAAGTTGTGCAAATCTTCACCCAACCATCTGCCTGCTCATGCAGCCTGGAAGAGCTCTGCTTTAACTTCTGTATTGTTTCTCCCCACAGGAGAGGAATTACTGTCCTATTTCTTCGTGCCAGAATGAGGAACTGGAAACAGGCTGAAGGAGAAAGGAGCTGGATGGATGTCCCAGAGACCTTAAAGGCTCAGAGGAAGACTGGCCAGGCTTAGGTTACTGTCCCTCTGCCCCTTCCCTGGTACCTCTGACACCAATTAGGAGCTGGGCTTATTAGCTGTTTTCCTGCACCAGTCTCCAAACACCACCGAGCAGCACCTGAGCCTGGTGCAGGATGCAGTGTCTCAGGATGCTGCAAACAAGAGAGAGGTGAGCCCGCACCTGGCAATGGGGAGCCCAGCCGCAGCCAGATGTGAGCTCCTTCCCCATCCTCCCCCCTTCCTCTTGCCCTAGCCTCAGGCCAAACAGGGAAAATCCTTCAGCAGAACCCCAGCTGGGGCTGCTCGCTGCCTTTCCATAGCAACAGTCCATCAGGGGGTCGGAGTCAGCAGTGAAAAATGCTTTCTCGCCTTGCCTGCCGGTCGCTATTTTGATTGCATTCCTGGGGAGCTGGGCTGCAGATGTGGTCTCCTTATCTTGGGAAGGTCTGAGTCAGTTTTTCCCTGTGTGATGGAGCAGGCAGCTGAGGTGTGGAAGAGGAATAAATAGCTTCAAAGGCATGCTGGGGGTGTTGTTTGGTGGGGAAAATGTGGTGGTACCACTCTCCATCCTATACTCATGGTGCCCACATGACACAGCACGCCTGGAGGAGATGAAGGAGATGTCCCTGCAAAGCAACGTTCAGACAGCCCTGGTGTCTTGGCCTAAGAAAAAGGAGACCAGGAATGCTGCTCCTTGGATGACCTGAGGAACATTCCCACAAGAAAGGCACCTCACATTCACCCACCAATGCATGCCCAGGCTGTGTGATGCTCCTCAACCCACCAGCAGATGTGGCAGCTCAAAAGCTGGTTGCCTCCTGCTCAGCCTGCCTGTAAGTGACAGCAGGATCTGCCCTGTCCTCTGGTTGCTTTTCTGCTCAAAATCTTGCTTCCCAATGCTGCACTGTGGAGGGGTGATGTCTCCTTGCCTAGCAGTGCTGTCAGGTAATGGTGAATCTCTAGTGCTGCAAGCTGAGCTGTAAACCAGAGATCAGCCTGGGCAGAGCCAAGGGAAGGACTTTTGTGAGGTGCTGCTAGCAACCCAAAGCATTTATGTACCTGTGGGCCATGCACTAAATAATCATCAGCCCAACCTAGGGAAAGCAGCAAGCCACAATAAATGTTAAGCACGTTGCAAGTTTTCCTTCTGTTGGCAAGATCCTCAGCTCTGGTTCCCCCAAAGCCTGGTAGCTCAGTGAGCAATTCCTTGTTGTTGTATGGGAACTGCTGAGTCACAGCCTGAACCTCTGCTCACCTGAGGTGAGCCATGAATCAGCCAGAGGAGCATAGCTGAAGGCAATTCACCTGTGCTGCTGGAAGGGGTGGAGCCAGGCTCCCCCCCCTCCTAGACCTATTTAAGAGCTGGCTACCACTGGGAAAGGTTCTTGTCTGGAGATCCCTCTTTCTGGTGTTTTGTGGTGAGCCCAGCATAAGGGTAAGCCTTCCGTTTATTCTCTCTTGTTATCATAGTCTACTTTGCCTCCCTCTCTTGTTTATTTTGTGGTTGTAACATCTTGATATCCATTGACTATACACTTGTCCTTTGTATTTTGCAAAGAGAGGGGCTTTGCATGTAGAACCCCACCTCCAGGAGCTGGTGATCACATGTTTTTGGAAAAGGATGGTGAGCGTGGGGCTCCAGAGATTGAAGGGTCAGTAGGGTAGGTAGGGCCTGGAGGAGGAGGAAGAGGGGATGCCTGTGTAGCCCCTGCACCCACTGCAATGGGACCAGGGGCAGCAGTGCTGGGTTCAGCAGGGCATCACGGGTTGTCCCATGCCACCGGGGCTGGGGGAACTGCTTAGGATCTGTCCTCCTGGAGCTGCAGTGGGAGCCAGGACTCAGGAGAAGGTTTCTATAGCAACAGCTGCCACTCACTCCCCATCTCAGATGTAAATGAGGTAGGATGTTATTAGTGTGCAGAATTTCAAGAGGTGGGAGCTGGCAGAGGGACCTGCTGAATTTGTGGCAGGAGTGTGCTGGGGTCAGAAGCATCGTCAGGAGTTTGGAGCAGGACAGGGTTTGGGGCATCCTGCATTGCCTCATGCCTTGCTTTTTGTCCCAGCGACTGTGTGTGGCTCTGAACAGCTCTGGGTTTTCCAGGTCTCAGTCACGAGACTGGGGATGGAACACAGAGACAGTGCTTTTGTCCCAAAGCCTGGGAGAGAGGCACTGTTGGGTGAGCTCCCTGTGCTGCCTCTTGGATGTGACCCTGATGGAGGCATGGCCATGAGGTATGGAAGCCCAGAGCCCTTTTCTTTGACACCTTGTTAGGAGGACCAACAAGGATATTGTGATATTGGGCCTGATATTGCCTAGAAGCTAATACAGCTGCTGTTTGAGTTTGCTAGAGCAATGCTTGGGGGCTGGAGGCAGTGCAGAGTGCTGGACCAATGCATATAATGCTTCTTGTCATACAGATCTTGTAGCCCAAGTTGAAGCAGGCAGGTCAGGAAGGAATTGGTTGAGCATCAGCCTGCTGGAGAGCTGCATTCAGGCCTCAGTTTTGGCAGTTTTGAGGTCCCAAGGTGGGAGTTCCTATGCCCTGTTAGCAGCCGAGCCATTCCTTTTGCAAAGTGGTTTCTCCAAAGTGCAAACTGCCTCTGGGCACTCTCAGATAAAAGCTTGATGATGAAGCAGTGTGCTGGTCTAGCAGAAGTGCTGAGAGTCACCCAAGGTTTCCAGAGTCAAAGAGGTAGGAAACTGGGGCTGCTTTCTGGAGGCCATGGGTACAACTATAGCAGGGGTTCTTGCTTGCATGAAGGCTCTGTTTGATATCTGGGCTATTGGGCTGGTGGTTAGGTGGGATCATGGCTGGTTGTCAGATGGGATCGGCTCCTGCTTAGGTTTCTCTGTGAACATCCAGGTTCTTGAAGAAGCAGGAGCTGCGTGGAACAGTGGTGAATGCTGCTCTGCTGGGATCTGTCCTCTTCCTCAAGCCCAAGCAAATAAGAAATGATTGTAGTGTTAGCTGCTGTCTCCAAATCAAAAGGTCAGTATAATACAGCTGGGTGAAAAATCTTGATTTCTATTGTGCTTTTCAGTTTGTGTGGCTAGGACCCATGTTTTCAGCCCTCTTATTTCTTCTAGTTGTGACTTTGGTTTTCGCTTTTATTGAGAGTTATGAATTTTGGATTTTCTTCCTTATGTAACTTCTTGCCTCTGTGAGTTGGGGCTCTGTGAAAGTCAGAAGGTTTCACACTACTTTGTGATAGCGCTGTGGTATTTGCCAACGCTGGGTTATAATTGGATGGTGTACAGTTTATGTATCTGGTGCAGTTATAATATTCATATGTTTGTGTGCAGCAAAAAGAAAAGAGGCTGGAAGAGCCCTTGAAATGCTAGAAGTGTTGGGCTGGGTGGGCTGGCAAGTGCCAAGGGGCTGCTGTGTGCCTAGGTTGGGGCGTTGCTGTATGTGGAACCATGGGGCTCCTGCTCTGCCCAGGGCTGTGCTGGTGTAGCTGCTGTAAAGTGTAGCCTCCAAGGCAGGTGTTTGCTTGCAAGATAAATTGGCCCTTTTGTAGGGGACCGTGTCCTGAGCATGATGAAAATGCCAAATGTGCTGATAATGCAACTTGAAACGGATCTGTAGGGATTTTGTGCTGGTGTCTTGAATGCTATTGTGAGTAGGAAAGAAAGTGGGGAAGGAGTGGGGTGACTGGGCTGTGAACTCTGCAGTGGGGTCAATGCTGATTTGGGAGGCATGAAGCAGGACTGAAATGGGGGTGCTGGGTGGGGAGCATGTGGTTTTTCTGGTCAGATGAGGGCTTGGAGGCTCTGTCTTTAGTGCCTCTCTATTGAGCTTAAGCTCCAGGTCTTGGGGCCAAGTGACCCTGAGTGAGTTTTGTCTGAATTCAAGAATGGGAATGCAGAAGCTCAGTAGCATTCAGGTTTGGGAGAAGGAGGCCCTGAGAATGCCCTGGCTTGGAAAGCTGACCTTTGCTGAAAGCAGCTAATCACGTGCAAATCTTAAGCATGTCCTTCAGTTCCATTGAAGAAAATAGACTTGAAGTGCACGCTTGAATCTAAGTGCACGGTGAAGTATGTTCATGGGCCTCAGATAGGGTAATGATGGCTGCACAGAAGACGGCCAGATACACCAGGAGATAGGGCTATAACACAGCCATGAGCTCACTGCTGTCTCACACGAGGCTGCTCCAGGTCTGGCAGCCCAAGGGACAGAGCCCTGGCTCTTTGCTGTCTTGTGAAGCCTCACTGCATCGCCTTCATCCAGGCTTGGTCCTTTCCTTTCCCCAAGGCCGCTCCTTCCCTTGCTTTGCCCACACTGTGAAAGTGCCTGGCCTGGATATTTGCTGCACATCAGCACAAACCCAACCCTTCGCTTTCTGTGCTTAGCAGGACAGAGCCAGCAGAGCTGCAGTGGGGACACCCCTGGGCACCCCTGCCCCTGCCTGGGGTCGTGTTCCCCTCTGTGGCCATGCATCTGGCTCGCTGGGAAGCCAGAGCCCGCGCTGAGCTCAAAACGCAGCAACAGCAGCCTCTGCTTTTCCACACGTTGGTATTTTTAGCTCTGCTGTGCATTAGCGTGCAGGAGCTCAAACTGCGAAGCCTGGCTGAGGTTTTATCTGTTGTGACAGCCCTTAGGGCTGTAGTCAGACACTCTCTCTCGCTTGCTCGCTCCCTCTCTCCTTTTTTCTTATTCCTTTTTTAAAGTTTGCAGCTCGGATCTGCTCCCTCTGCATGGATACACTGTGCAGCTGTCAAGACAAGAGACCAAAGGTGGCAGATAGGGTCCAAAGTGTGGTCTGAGCCCCTTTGCGAGGAAGCTCTATTGAGGTACTTTCTGTATTTTTCCATTCCTCCCTGTTGCTGATGTCAGGGCTGAAGCATTGCGAGCTGATGTTGCAGGGTGAGGTGCTGGCTCACTCTGACTGCTCTGACCCAAAGGGTCTCAAAAAAGCTGTGCTGATCGACAGCTGCACCACTACTGGTAGCAGAAACTGGGGAGCAGAGGGCAGAGGCCAGCATATGCCAGGGCCCGGAGGGCGGCATGCAGACCTAGGGCTTCTGCTGCTTTGTCCAAATCCCTCATGTTTATGGCAGCACTGTAAAGCACAGATGTGGTCCCTTCTGGGGCCCTAGGAACCCCAGAAATCAAACTTCCCTTCAAGACTCAGGGCTCAGCATCCTGCGTGCCTCAGGGGACCAAGCCTGGGCCGTTCTGTGCCGAAACAGAAGTTGCCTAAAAATCTGGTGCCCCCAGAGCTTGTCCAAGGTCAGGGAGGAAGCTGGTGACAGAGCCAGGAATCAGGTCTGGCTTCCTGTCCCACCTGTCTAGCCTTCCGCTCCAGCTCTCTACATGCACCATCCCATGTCATTTCTCACTGTCTGTCCATAATTTGGTTGTTTGCTGCTCTTTATACTCTAGAGTGCAGATAGTTGGTGTATATCTATGTCATATTTTCTCAAAAATCTATTAAATTCTCTTCATTGCTCCCAGGACGTAAAGGGAAATAGCGGCTGAAGGATGCTTTTTGTACAAGTATGAAATATCATCTAATTAGCAAGCAGGGATGGCCATAGGATGAGCAGAGGGAGGTGTGCAGGTTCCTGTAGGTCTGTCCACGATGTGATTTTTCTGGTGTCACATCATTTAGAAGTACAGCAAGTTCAGCACATGGCAGCTCCCCTGTCCTTGGCTGGAGACTGAAGAGCTGCATCTGTAGATTGGGGTGCCACTGTTATGGGGGCTGGGGAGTGATGGTTTTGTCATGCATTACCTGGGTGTAA